TATTATTTGGAGAAAAATAAGAGCTACTCTTTCGCCGCAACGATTCATTTGTGATTCTCCAACACGGTTCTATGGACGCCGAATTTATCGGTAGAATTGGAACTTTTATCTTTACTCAAATTATTCCATGTCGATGCAAAGTGATTTCTTTCATAGTTTAATTGAATTGTCAACAATGTTTGCAATCAACTTTTATCAAATATTTTAGCGTTGATGCTACTAAATCTATTATCATTATGGGTGGATACGGAGAATTATCAGCGAATCATTTTATTGGCACTGAGCGTATCGGGACATTGGATTTATATGCAACATTTATACAGTGTTATTCCACACAATGGCGACACCGTACCGGATTTATGTAAGCAACCATTATTTCAATTAAAATGTATAGCTTAAACAATTTGATAATGCTAGTCAATGTGATTAAAATTAATCGGGCCCCAGTTTTCATGCCAATCGTTATAAAGATTCCAAAATATACAATTCAAAACCAAAAATTCGTTGTTTCGTTCCATTTTCAGTGATCTATTTCCGTGATTCTTTGTTGTTATCGCTCATTTTGATAGTAAATACGATCATCGTTCATAGAATGACAGCTGGCTCTAAGCAAACACCAAAATTAATTGAAAGAATTACAACATACATGGATAACAATCGTATTGGTCAACTGTTTCTTACGGTAATGATTTTTTCAAAAATTATCTTGATTGCAGATACTAAATATTCATTTAAATACTCTCCGTAAAGCAATCATCCGAGCAGCTTTATAAAAATGAAGACAGCAAAGTTGAGCCAAAAAGTGCGCGGAAGACCTTTGGAAATATTATCGATCGAATTCTATTTGTATTATTGAGCATTGTTTATGTTATTATGATGTTGGACTTATTGTTAATCTGAAAGTTACCAAGAGCGAACCCAAATGTTGCCTTTGTAATCAAGTATCACAGAGCTAAAATTCAGAAGAAATTCTCCTGGCAATTCTAGTTTCTATTTTTTCACTTAATTCTTTACTTTGAACAATGTAAATACACATTTTGACAGAAGAAAAAATAAAAATACAAAGATTTTATTTTATTCAACAAAAAGATTGTAGGTGTGGAAATTATATGTTGATTGGTGAAAATTTCCGGTAAAGAACCAATAAATGAAGAAAAAATATTTTTTGACACATATATGTTGATTTGAGTAGATTTGATAGTTTCAAGCTCATTATCACTTCTTGAGAAGGTGAACGAACTTCATGTGATGATTGACATTACATCGACGGGTAAAACGTGCATCTCAGTATTTGCATGTAAATGGTTTTTCGCCCAAGTGTTTTGCTTGCATATGTTGTTTCAAATGACTTTTGTTAAAACATTGATGTGGACATAGATAGCATTCGAATCGTCGGCATTTGCATCGATTCTCATGTAATTGTTTTTCATTTTCTTGAGCAAATCGATGACCACATTTCAGGCAGGCAAACGGCAGTTGTTTGACATGAGTTCGCAAATGAAATTTTAGATGCTGGTTGGTTACAAATGCGCTGGTACAAACATGACATGCGAATGGCTTAACGCCACTATGGATTCGCATGTGCTGCTTTAGATTTGACGTGTCCGGAATGGCAGTTTCGCATAGGTAGCATGCTTACTGATGAACTTTGCAGGCGTTTTCATGGTTGATCTTTTCAGTTTCTTCTGTAAATCTACAGCCACACTTCGAGCAACTGAATGGGAATTCAGTGATATGGATTTTCTTGTGTCTAATCAAATTGCCCTTGGTTGTAAAATTCTTGGCACATATTTCACATTCAAAGGGCTTCTCGCCAGTGTCGGTTCTAATGTAAATTGTTACGTTTGGTTTGCGCGATGAAGCATAATCACACAAATGACACTTGTGTTTCTTCCGTTCATTTGCCACTGGTTTCTTCGATACTTTCCCTTTGCGATCTTTTTTTGTGGCTTTGTTCTCCTTTCTATCACTCTTTCGTTTCCGATTTGCTCCCTTGCTGTTCAACTTTGGGCTTGGTCCGCTTGCATTTCCACCAAACGATTCATCTTTATTTGCTTCGGCTTTCGAGAATCCGTCTTCCTCTTTTTCGCATTTCTTCGTCAAGCATTCGTCTTCGCATTTGATTTCCTTCTTCACAGGCTCCATTTCGCTGTCATTTTCGCTCTGTGATTTTATTGCGACTTTTGCTCCAATTGGCGATGCTGGTAATGGATAATGAATCAATTCGATGCCATCCGTGTATTCTTCTTTGACCACAACTTCTTTCTTCACAGTGACCTTTGTAGCTGATAGATTGCATTTACATTTGCGCTTGATCTTTCCACAATACTTTCCTTTACTCTGATACGGATTCATTGCGACTGTATCTATGATAAATCAGACAAAAAGAGAACAATTTCATTCAATAGTACGCGAACACACGGAATGATCGAAGATGAGAAATATTTTCAATACGAGACAGGAAAAAAAACTTGGAAAATCTTATGAATGTCGCTTCAAATATAGGAAAATAACTTTCTATCAGACAATATATTTAGCTGCCGTCATCTGGATATTTCAGCTCATCTGGATGCCGTCAGCAGATGATGCGAAGTGAAAACAATAGAGACGGCCTAAGAAGAAAACAATAACATACAAGTAAGTAGGCTGTTTTACCTTTGCGCTGTCTGTTTGTATATTTGGTTTTTGCTCACATAAATTTGTATTCGACTTTTTGTAGAATATTCTGTATGTTATTGTTTTCTTCTTAGGCCGTCAAGTGATTGTTATAGTAATACCAGTATATAACAAGCTTATATACCTATAACAATCACTTCTATTGTTTTCACTTCGTATCATCTGCTGAAGATATCCAGATGACGACAGCTAAATATATTGTCTGCTTTCTATCTAAAAATCATTGTACAAAATCTACTCTATGAATCACGAGCAATGATCAATAGTTTTTGCGTCAAAAAAGGGTAATATGTTTACTACTTTCAGTGTTTTTTTTTTGCGGTTTGCACTAAATACTTCGAAAACTTACCTTCCAATATTATTTTCTTTGTGCACAGATCAAATCTCAACCATTTCAGTACAAAATGTGTGTCTTTCACCAATGTGCGCAATGATGAATCAGCACAATTCACCGACTCTGTGAAAAATGGCGTGCACAACTAGAAGAGTGTTGATAGTTTCACGAACCGATGTGAAGTTGGAACCCATCTCAATGGTTGACAGATATTCAAATTTGAAAAAGCTGTCAATTTAACAATCTAATCGAAGTTGATTTGTCATTTAATTACCTTGCTTTTTATGGATGTTTACTTTTGGAGATGGAACTACCCTATGTGTGCTCTTTAATTATTTAACATCTCTCAATACTTTCTTTATTTCAAAAGTTAAAGTTTGTGTCACAACAAATACTACACCGTCGTCCAGCGCTAGGCTGTGGATTGGTGAATTTTGTTTGGACTCTTCTATTTACCGTATGTTTCTCAACAGAATCTTTTTTATTTAAGCTCTGAAGCGTTGAAGAATACAATTTTCCTCTGCCAATTTAGATGATTTGCGCGATTACAACATATGTGACCATACTGACTCAATTTGATAACGTAAAATAGGTGATGATGCAGTACAATTTCTTCTTGGCAACTAATTCCGTTATTATCCATATATATTGGAGATTACTTCGTTCAAATTTTCCATTTCCACCTGTTCAAATTCAATATGATGAAAACCATCGAAGGTCATAAATAAATGTGCAGGTGTACGACTCGGGTGACGCAGCTTTTCTCAAGCTAAACTCGAAATTTAATTATTCCTGGATATGAGATAAGCCATTTTTCCACGACAAACAATGGTGAATTCCATAAAAAATCTATCGATTAATTTTATTGTGAATAATTGTGAATTTCCACTTTTGAGTATTTTGTAGCACACAAGCTTTATTAAAATAGAATAATTTTTCACTTTATGATTGCACAATAAATGATTGGATACACCGATTTTATTGCTTTCTCGTCTAGTTTCTACTGTGGTTTTACCAAATGACCGTTTCCAACAATTGTCAGTAGAATTTAAATCATCGTGAACATTGGACCATTTAAATTCAAATCAAAAATGTTTGGTTTCTTTAGAAAAGCCTGTCGTTTAGTTACACAAGCCTTAAGATCAAATCAGACGAAAAGTGTCTCTTTACGTGAAAACAATTTCGTCAACAGTTTGCGACCAATTTACATCATTTCTCGTGTATATGGTATGTTGCCATTTTCCGTCGTTCTTGACGAAAATGGTGAAGTGCAATGTGCTCGGGTTAAAAACTTTGATTTTATTTGGTTTTCGATTTCAATGTGTGTGTATTTATTTGTCATCTTTTCCTATGTTGAAGTAATGTTCACATCCTTCACAAAAACAAAAAGTATTTTTAACTTGAGTGCTAACCTAACTGTAACAATTCAGTTGATTTTGATACCAATATCCATTTCGATGGATATGTACAATCGTCATCGATTGGCTGACATCATGAGTAAATTTACAAAATTCGATAAAGAGGTACTTTTAAAAATTGAGCTGTCATGTAAATAGTGTCATTTACATGCATATTTACCTTTCATTCGAATCAAAAAGATTTCAAAGTACGCCATTTATTTGGACTACGGAAAGAAGCGCCGACAAATGATACGGTGGAGTGTGTTGAGCATAGCCTACGGTACCATCATGCCAATCATTACGTTTTTCCTTTACGAACATAATCGTACACATTTTGCACTACTTGAAATGATCCGCTTTTTTTGTGTATATACGATTATATGCAGCTACGAAGCCATGCGTTGTATAACGTACATAATATTCGTTTTGCTACTTCGTGATCGTTTCACACTTGTGAACACTTTGATTAGGTTTGTAATCGAAAATCAAATTTGTGTAGCGTCTTTCATTCATCACGTTGTCTCCAAACAGGAAGCAGTTGATAGGAAATGCAGTATTAACGGGGCTTACCAATCATAATAAGAGCGAACACATCCGTTTTATCAAATTTATTGGCACACAGCACAGCACATTGACGGACATTATGGACAATCTCAACCATTGCTTTGCAATTCATGTGAGGAACATCATTTATTTAAATATAACTATAACTATCGACTCACTTATTCAACTGTTTTGTTTCAGATCATGTTTTTTGTTGGAATTACATTTGTTTTTTCTGTTATGACACTGTTTTCAGCTTATGAATATGTATTTTTTGGCATTTCAATATTTCGAGACGTGACATGTGTCATGCTGATTACAGTGACATTTTATATGGTATTCACCATATTGGTCATTCACAGCGGGAGTTCAATATCATCAAAGGTAATTTTTTACCACTCTACAGTAACAGCTGTTATAATTACTTTCATTGGGGAATGGCAAGAAAGAATGGCTGTTATAAATGACTTTTATTCCGTAGGGAAAGAAGACTTCTGAATTGCTGGACAGTATCACCAATTCTTGTAATGATCGAGACGTTAGTTTTTTGGTGAGATGTTACCGCTTCTTCTTTATACTAGTTCATTTATTCGGTACTTCATTTTCTATTCAAATAGTTGAGTAATGTTTCTCAACAAATACAACAACAACATCCCGTTGCCGCCTGTGCTATTTTTCAATTCAATTGGACTTTATTGTACAACGTATGTTTTTTTACAGCAAAATAATTTATTGCACAAAATTTAAAAAGAAGCGTTTTGTCTTCTTTATGAAGTTTTCACTTTGATCAACGATTCATCTTTGCCTAGATATATGCTTTGCATAAAAAGAGGCAGCATAACAATATCTGCATTCGACTACACAGCACTGACGCTCGAAGGTGTCCTTATGCAGATATTTTTATGCAAAGCATACAGGGTGGTGCATATAATAGGGCCACTCTTAGGGGATGAACATGTTGAAAAACCTTTCGGAGGTAAAAATAGAAAATTTCTATCTAACGGTGAGTAGAATTTCGAAGAAATTAGAAATTTTTTAAGACCTCTGCACCCCTTAAGGACCACCCAAGGTATATATTTGGGTAGGGATGAATCGTTGCTATTGATCCATTGAGTCGATAGATCAAATGAGACAAAAAACAATCCATGAAATGACTAGTTCAATTCTTTGTTCTTCCAATTCATAGATAATTGGCGCTGTCACCATCTATTTGACCATTTTGATTCAGTTTGATAAAGTAAAATAAGCGATGAAGCCCGATTCCTTCTCGGCGGTGAATTCAATGGAATTGAAGCACGTTGTTTGAAATTTTAAATTGGTTTCATGTATGCACAGATGTTGTTTTTATGTAAGCGGAATCAACACACAATGTCATTCATTTCTTTCATGACGAAGACGTGATTTTGGAGGTGAGATCTTTGCAGTAATTAGAATTGTCTTAGAAGTTGCCATCAAGAATCGAGAAATCTTACATAATATTTCTGATCCAAAATAGTTGTCCCATTTGTCTGAACAAATACAACACCGCTATCCCGTTGCTACCTGTGGCCTATTCACTTTCGATTGGGCCCTATCGTACCGAAATTATGCCCAAACTGTCACACAGCACACAAATGACAACTAACCTCAATATGAACAAAAATTGACATAAAACTCAATTTATCCGAAGTCTCAACCGTTTTGAGATAAATTTTAGTATGCATTTTTTCCGCTCAAATGCCAAAGTGATATATGTTAAGCACTTAAATATTTGAGCGGAAAAAATCTGAACTAAAATTTATCCCAAAAACGGTTGAGACTTCGGATAAATTGAGTTTTATGTCAATTTTTGTTCATATTGAGGTTAGTTGTGATTTGTGTGTGTTAGCGCCACGACGGAATTCAATGTAATCTTAGTGTACTAAGTTGCCGCCAAATAGTGAAAAGACTTTTGCTCAGTTGCAACCAACAGACTAGAACTCCATAGTTGTCCGTAGTGGCGCTAGCAGTGCTACAGTTTTGCATTTTATACAGTCTCTTATGGAGCATAATTTCTGTGTGGGCCCTATTGTATAACGTAAGTTCATCGACTTCAAATTAAAACATCTTTGAAAACACATTTTTTTCATCCAATAAAGATGTTGGGCGCGATCAGCACTTATGTAATGATATTAATTCAAAATGATGAAAACCATCGTTTCGTGAAAAATGTGCAGGTCGGATGACGCAGCTTTTCTCAGCCCAAACTCCAATTTTATTATTCATAGCTATGAAATGATCCATTTTTCAACGAAAAACAATGGTGAATTCCATATAAAATCGATCGATCAATTTTATTGTGAATAATTGTGAATTTCCAATTTTGAGTATTTTGTAGCACACAAGCTTTATTAAAATGGAATAATTTTTCACTTTATGATTGCACAATAAATGATTGGATACACCGATATTACAACGTTGTCGATTTTATTGCTTTCTCGTCTAGTTTCTAGTGTTTGTTTACCAAATAACAGTGTCCAACAATTGTCAGTAGAATTTGAATCATCGTGAACATTGGACCATTTAAATTCAAATCAGAAATGTTTGGTTTCTTCAGAAAAGCCTGTCGTTTATTGACACAAGCCTTAAGATCAAATCAGACAAAAAGTGTCTCTTTACGAGAAAACAATTTCGTCAACATTTTGCGTCCAATTTATTTCATTTTGCGTATATTTGGTATGCTACCATTTTCAGTCGTTCTTGGTGAAAATGGCGAAGTGCAAGGTGCTCGAGTTAAAATCTTTGATTTTGTATGGTTTTCGATTTCAATATGTATGCATTTATATGTACTTTTGTTGAACGTTGTCAAAATTTCCTTTCCCTTGGGCAAAAGTCAAAGGATTTTTTATTTGATTAGTAACTTAAACATGACACTTCAATTAATCCTAATGCCCGTGACCATTTTGATGGATATGTACAATCAACATCGACTAGTTGACATTTTGGAAAAATTCAACAATTTTGATAAAAAGGTATTTGTTTTTCGCATTGGACACTATTGATTTTGATACAATCTAATTTAATAAAATACAGATAGCAACGTATGGCGTTCATTTGAATTACGAAAGAAAGCGTCAAAAGATTTTGGTGTGGTATTTGTTGAGCATAGTTTATGGCTTGATGATGTCAGTCGGTATATTTTTCGTTTACGAAAAGAATCGTAGACATTTTCCACCGAGTGAAATGATCCGTTTTTTTGCGATATTACCAATCTTGAGAGAATTTGAAATTTTGCGGTGTTTTTCGTACGTTATAGTCATTTTACTGCTTCGTGATCGCTTCACATCACTTAACATATTGATAAGGTTTGTACTATTTGTTTGGTGTAGATTCTTTTATTGAGCATGTTGTCTGTAAACAGGAAGCACCTACTGGCCAATACAATATCAGTGTGGTCAATCAGCCGTAATAAGAGCGAAATCATTGATTTCATCAATTTTGTGGGCACACAGCACAGCGCATTGACGGGAATTATGGAAAATCTCAACCGTTGTTTTGCAATTCATGTTGTGTTTAGGCGCAATTTCATTCGGTGTTAAAATATCACTGAAAGATGTTACTTCGTTTCAGATCATGTTTTATATTGGATTTACATTTCTTCGATGGGCTGCGACATTACTAGCAATTTATCAATATTTGCTGCAACCAAATCAGAAATATAGTGAACATTTGTATGGCATGATCATTCTATCGACATCAAATATGCCATTCATATTGGCAGTCATTTATAGTGGGAGTCTAATAAAATCAACGGTACATTTTTATAATTCCATTTGAAATAATTTCATTGGGAACACGAAGGATAATAAGATAATTTCTTTTCGGTTTTTTATTCCGCAGGGCAAAAATATTTCCAACCTATTGGACAATGCAAATAAATTTTTCGTCGATCGAGACGTGATTGTTAAGGTGCGTTTTTATATGCGCTTTTCCTTGGTCATTTATTCAGTACTTCATTTTCTATTTAAATAGTTGAGTCATGTTTCTCAACAAATACAACTACGACATCCCGTTGCTACCTGTGGCCTATTCAAATTCAATTACACTCTGTTGTATAACGTATGTTTTTTCAATAAAACAATTTATTGCTCATTAATTCATTTTTTACCAATCCACAGATAATTTGCGCGATGACTATTTATATTACAATTTTTATTCAAATCGACTACGCAAAATGAGGTGACACTGAACCTTGAGGTGACACCCTTTGAAGCACTGTATAACAATAATTACTTTTTTATTTTAATAAAACATTGAAATTGAGCATTTCAAATGCCATGAGTCACGATACTTTTTATGATATTTTCGATTATGGTAATTCACAACGAAAGTAGAATATAAAGCAAAGAAAATGCCATTTTATGATACAATCGAAATCATTTTGGTCAGCAACAGAAATACAATTCAATACCTGTAAACTTTCCGTGGTGTCAATAATATTTTGAATTGGAAATCGAAAGATTGGAAACCGACGAAGCGACATGACTAATACATCAGAGTATACTAACTTCCATTCTGTGTGTCCGTATGTACACAGAAAACCGGAGTCAGTTTGCTCCTGTGTATTAGTGCAAAGTTTGCAGCAAACATACTGCATCTAAACTCTACCGACAACACATTTTTTTATGCCAAAAACACTTTTATCAACATGTTAGCACAATTCTCTTTATTTGTGGTGAAAAACCAAAATATTTTATAAAAATGTGTAAAAAGCTCATTCACACCATTTTATTGCATTGCGTGCAGTCATACGTCCTTAGCAGGGGTTCGAGGGGTCCGATTACTCCCCCTGACGAAGTGTTACCCTACGAAGTGAAGACCTTTTTTGCTCAACAACTTTAGAAATGGAAGAAAATCTTTGGAATTTCTAGGGTTTTTCGCGATAAATTCTTCCGATTTGCCAAAGATTTTCGCCAAAAAAGTGAAGAGCAAAAAAAAAACGAAAAAATCGGCTGGATCAGCAACTCTAGAAGCTATTCCCATATGGCTTATTTGCGGAGTAATTTTGTCGATGGCGGGGATAGCATGCAAACTCTGTGTGTATAAGTGTAACAGCATTCTTTGCTGTTCATAGATTTATTTTGTTCAAACGAACATCTTAGTAGCCGTGACACACAGCTAAGTTGCTAATCATCTGCGTAAGAATGATACACATAGAAGTGCTGTTACGCTCGTACACATCTCCGCCGAACTGAGCACATTCCCGCCATCGACAAAATTACTCCACAAATGAATTATATGGCTTGTGAGTTTTTGCGACTTTGTAGAACACTCAATGAATGATGGTGAAACGATGAGCACAAAAATCTATGTATATTCTGTTGATTAGTTGAACTTGTTGAACGAAGCATCGTTTTTGGCGCTAGCGAATGCACAAGTTTTTTAAAATTACATATAGTTAAATACAGCTCGATCACTATATGTGGCATATTGCCTAAGAGTTGGTCGTTTGAATGAAATCACCACATTATCATTTCTCGAACGCCGAGGGCTCCAAAACCATCGGAAGGTTGCAAAGTAAATCATTTCCACGATGCTTAGCAGCGATATGCCCAAAAATAGCCCAAGCAATCCTCCACAATATCCTATAATTCCCATAAAAGTGTAGGATTCAGAGCGTAGTAGGGTAACAACTTGATACTCAACAAAAGATATGGATACAAGTGACACTTGGATGCTGTGGAATAATTCGAAAGCAATTTTCAAACACTTCAAAATAAAAATTGATTTTCCTTACTCGGACAAATTTGATAGCCACTTGAGAGAATCCAATGCCTTCATTGACCGATCAAATGTGGTGCGATCGATTTCGGCGGTGTATTTTATGAAATAATCGCAAGCTGGTAAGCAATTGCAAATATCACGAAATATTCGAATGTTATCATTGTTTGAATCACCTTCTTCAAACAATTTCATTTCGGCATTTTGATAGCACTCAATTTTCGCTGCTCCACAGATTCTTGTGTTTTCATACCCTAAATAAATGAATTGGGAGTTTGAATATTGCAATTAAATGTCATGTGTTTCATAATCGTACTTGGCATCGAAAATTTTACGCATCCGCACATGATTCGAGTGTAATTGATCAGACACTCTTCTGGAAATGAATTTTGAAGTGAATGAAGAGCAAAAAATGAAGAGTCAAAAAAGTGTTCACCTTCGCAATTGTTTTGCGTATAGAATTGAAAGAAATGCAATCGACGTTCAGAGTTGAAAAAACATTTCCTTTCACTCGGTGAATAGCGGCGTAGTTCATTTGATGTGGTATACATTTTCGGTTTCATCAAGAGATATACATTTTCGGATGGTAAAATTTGAAAATTACGGGTCATTGATCTTGGTATTTCACCTGGCATAGTCAAGGATATGTCAAAACCTTGAACGACTCCAGCGCACAAGTAGTTGAAATCGTCGACAGAAAGTTGCATCGATATAAATAATGATGCTCTCTCTTCATCGGCACTGAATAAGCGAAACGGATACTGGTCTGATAATCCTTTTTTGTATCCACCTTCCACACTCCAATGTGATATATTTTTATTGGTATTTACAGTCATCAATTGAGGAGCCGTGCTAAAAAAACGGACATGGTAAAAGAAAAGACTTAGAAGCTTGTGAGAAGAGACTTAGAAGCTTACTTTTCAGTGTACATTTCATGCGAATTCAAACCTTGAAAACAAAGTTGAAAAAATTTAATTGTTTTAAAACTTATTTTAAAATTATTTTAAAAACCGTTAAATTGAAAACAAAGTCCATCTTCAGTAACAACTGTAGCCATAATCTCATTACAGGGACACCAATCCGTACGCCATAGACACTTGTATACAGTGGAATTCAGATCTGGTGCAATGTCTTCAATAATCTCATAAATTGAACCATTGGCGAATTTTCTGTGTGTAAATGGCTTTAGAATTTCTCCACTTGGACATATATTCAGCAATGCCTCCAATCGCATTAGCCTAGGCTAATCAAAATCGTAAATATGATAAAATGCAATTGGATTCCGTGCATCACAGAATAAGGTTCATACTCAATGTCTGATAATATCTCTGGTGTTTTTCTATAACTCTCGTACGAATCAATTTTCCCTTGAGGTGTAATTCAATTTTCCCTTGAGGAATTTTGTCCGTGGGCAGATGGTCACTGTAGGAAATGGAATATCTGAAATGAATTTATCGCTTTCTGCGTTGGTCACAGTTACTGGATTATGGCGCCAATGTATCCAGACATTTCGAATCGAGATACTACACAGGAAAAGTGATAAAATGACAGCAACAGTCCACCAAAATCTATTTAAAAGTGATTTTATGGGTAAAATAATTCGTGTCGAAACTTATGAAAATTATAGAATATGAAGACCAATAATGTGCGAGAGCGAGATAAATTTCTCAGGATGATTTCAATTTTTTTCGGAAAATTCCTAGCAAATCGGAAGATTTTTTTCTAAATTTCGAAAAACCCAAGCAAATTCGAATAATTTGGAAATATTACTGATACTCCCCCTCGTATATTACTGATGAAGACTTATACCTTTCGCACCAATGTCGATTTCTTTCGGCAATATATCGAACCCCGTGAATACTGTTATTACAGAATATATACACCATGAATTCTAAATATCCTTAATATAAATAATATTAATATATTAGATACCTGCTGTTATTGCAGAATTCGATTAAATGTTTACGCATCTTCATTTTTTCAAATATTTATTAATATTTTTGACAGTTATTCAAGTAAATTTATGTGAAAAAAGTTATTTAAAAAAGATTTCGGCGCAGAGCGTTTGATATGGGTGCTATTATCCAGGAAAGCTTTAAATATACTAATTGAAATACCAAAATGTCGACATCTAATTACCTTGATTATTTTTCAATTGAAAAGCTCTTGCATGACTTCATCATGCAATTGCTTGAAACCATAAATATTGTAAGAGAATGAAATACAAATTGGTGAGTGGATTGTAATATTTTCCACAGTTTATGGTTGAAATAAAATTGAATTGAACCTTGCCCAATGTTCAATTCAATTAGCCTAATTGAAAATGTGAAACAACACCATATATAACATAAGTGGCTTTAACGAATTCCAATTTCAATCACAATCAAAAATTTGAAAATTTCGAAAGCGAACACCTTTTTGACTCTTCATTTTTTTCCCGTTGTTCATAAACTTACAATCTCCGCCCCCCTCTCACTTATTTCTCTTCATTCATTTCCACTTCATCCCTCGAGTATAACGAGCAGACCATGTACTGAGCATGGATAAATATCCGAGATCTTTTCTGAGAATCGGATATTTAACGCAGCAGTCCATGCATTATTACTCTTTCTGAACGAAGTGTGTGTCAGCCTCAAATTGGCTTGTGTATCTAGGGAGAGACACCAAGAATAAATTCCGAATTCACTATATAAATTACTAATCCAGCTATTCCACTAATCCAAAAGCACAAATGTGAAATCGAAACTATTTTTCCTATTCCATGCACTGTTTCTGCTATTCCGCACTATTCCACTAATCCATCAATAAACGTCAAAAGAAATGTCAAATGGATTTGGAATGAAATAATTTTTGCTATTCCATGCACTGTTTCGCTATTCCACGTGAATCTATGCACATGAGTTGCTATTTCATTGCAATTTCTCGAATCTTCACACTAAAAGTCTAACCCTATTCCACGTGTCTGCCCCCTAGTTGTGTATCTTAAATAAATTCCATTTGAAGGGGTAATAACGCACAGATCGACGTTCAAAAACACACACTCACATAAACGAAGAAAACCATAGTGTATGGTCTGATTACGGGTAATATGACCCGATAGATTGGATGGTAAATCTGTTAATAGTTGGTCGTTTGAACGGAATAACAACATTATTCTTTTTCGAACGCCAAAAGCTCCAAAACAATCGAATTGTTGCAAAGTAAACGAATTCCACGATGCTCAGCAACGACATCCCCAAAAATAGTCCAAGCAAACCCCCACCAATTGCTATAATGTCCGTAAAAGTGTAGGATTCAGAGCGTACTAGGGTAGAAACTTGATAATCAACAAAAAATATGTTTAAAAGTGACACCTGGGCGCTGTAAAATAATTGAAAAATCTATTGTCCAGTTCAAAAGGTTAGTATCGTTTTCATTACTTGGTTGAATTTGGTAGCCAGCTAAGGGAATGCACTGCCTGCATTGACCGGTCAAATTTGGTGCGATCGATTTCGGCGGCGTATTTTATGAAATAATCGCAAGCTGGTAAGCAGTTGCAGCTATCACGAAATTGTTTAATGGAGTCATTTTTCGAATCATCTTCTTCAAACAATTTCATTTCGGCATTTTGATAGCACTCAACTTTCGCTGCTCCACAGATTATTGTGTGTTCATCTCCTAAAGAAATGAATGGGGAGTTTAGCCATTGAAAGTAAATTTCAAGTGTTTCATAATCGTACTTGGCATCGAAAATTTTACGCATCCGCACATCGTTCGAGTAAAATTAATTACACACTCTTCTTTGCAATTATTTTGGGTATAGAATTGAAAGAAATGCAATCGACGTTCAGAATTGAAAAAGCATTTCCTTTCACTCGGTGAATACCGGCGTAGTCCCTTTGATGTGGTATACATTTTCGGTTTGATCAATATATCCGTTCTTTCCGAAGATAAAATTTGAAAGTTACGAGTCATTGCTTTTGGTATTTCACCTGGCATAGTCAAGGATACGTCAAAACCTTGGACGACTCCAGCGCACAAATAGTTGAAATCGTCTGAATAAAATTGCATCGATATAAATAATGCTGCTCTTCCTTCGTTTGCCGCAAAGACACGAAACGGATAGTGATTTTGAAAGGGATTTTTATTTGAATACAATCCTTTTTTGTATGCATCTTCTATACTCCATTGTGACACATTTCGATTGGAATTCACTGTCATCAATTCAGGGGCCATGCTTCAGCATGGTACAATTCATGGAAAGAACAGAAAGAGACAAAAAACAGAGGGCGATTGTAAAAAGAGACTTAGAATAGAAGATCGATCAAGCTTACTTTTCGGTGTACATTTCATGTGAGTTGAATCCGTTGAATTGAAAACAAAGTCCATCCTCTGTGATAACAGAGGTCATGTATTCATAACATGGAAACTGTCTTGAATGAAACTCACAATGAAACAGTGTCGAATTCATATCTGGTGCCATGTCATCAATGATTTTATAAATTGAACTATTTGCATATTGTCTGTGCGTAAAAGGCTTAAGAAAATCTCGCCGTGGACAAATATTGAGCAATGCATCTAATCGCATTAGCCTAGAAAATATTTAAAAAATAATTTATTTTTCGTATTACGGTAAAAATGTGCATACTCAATGTCTGATAAAATTTCTGGTGTTTTTCTATAACTCTCGTACGAATCATTGGTGAAATTCAATTTTCCCTTGAGGAATTTTGTCCGCGGGCAAATGGTCACGCACGGAAATGGAATATCTGAAATGAATTTGTCGCTTTCTGCGTTGGTCACAGTGACTAGATTATGGCGCCATTGTGTCCAGACATTTCGGATCGAGATACTGCACAGGAAAAGTGATAGAATGACAGCGACAGTCCACCATAATCTATTCAAAAGTGATTTTATGGGTAAAATCATTCAGGTCGATTAGAAACTTATGAAAATTATAGAATATGAAGCTTCATAAGTCTAGACTTATACCTTTCGCTCCAATGTCGATCTCTTTCGGCAATATATCGAACCCCGTGAATACTGTTATTACAGAATATACACACCATGAATTCTAAATATCCTTAATTTAAATAATATTAATATATTAGATACCTGCTGTTATTGCAGAATTCGGTTAAATGTTTACGCATCTTCATTTTTTCAAATATTTATTGATATTTTTAACAGTTATTCAAGTAAATTTATGTGAAAAAATTATTTAAAAAAGATTTCAGCGCAAAGCGTTTGATATGGGTGCTATTTTCCATAAAACTTCTAGAAACACTAATCGAAAAGCGTGGCCATTTTTTTGATTTTTTTTTCATTATCAAATTGCATCAAATCATAAAACTTTGTAAGAGAAACGGAAATTATGATCAAAATAGTTTTAACAGTTTATGGATGAAATAAATTTTAATTGAACCTCGTCCAATTTAATTAGTCTAATTGAATAGGTGAAGCAAAGCCTTACAATGTAGTTAGACGTTATGTCAGTTTCAAAAAGTTTTTAAAATATCCAATTAATTTTGAAATCATTCGGAATCATTAAGATTCGGTTGAAGATTAAAAACACTCGGAAAAAAATACGGGGGAGAATTTGATTCGAAAATCCCTAGCAAATCGAAAGAACCTAGGGACCTCAAGAAAATTTTTGAGGTTTCAAAATTTTTTTAGGGTTCCAAAAAATGTTTTAGGAGGGTAGTCCGAACCCTCGTCAGCACCCATTACCAAGATACTGCTATTGCGGGGTTTCATTGTATTAACAGGCACACAGGCTCCCTATGCTAAACCATTGTAATGATATTTTAGGGACAGCATATAGCCCCAGGTGGCGTACAGTCAACTTTTTCTTTATTTGGTACTTGTTTTAGCTAAATGCGTGCAAACAATATTCAAATGAACGACTTTATCAACGGCTTTCAAACATTAATACCAGCCTTACAGCATAGAAAAGAAGTTTTAGCACAGGTGCCATTTATTGTTTGGTTTATGCATGCACTAATGCATATGGCGCCTGTGTTAAGACTTTTTTTCTATGCTGTAAGGCTGGTATTAATGTTTGAAAGCCGTTGATAAAGTCGTTCATTTGAATATTGTTCTCTATGAAGTTTTGTTGAAATCCAACCATGCCAGGTTATCGAATTGAACCAATATTGTCATATAGATGGTGATCGCGCCAATTATCTATGAGAATGATACACAATTATTTTGTGCGCATTAAATTGTTTTGTCAAACATACATTGTACAATAAATTCCAATCGAAATGAAAAAGACCACAGGTGGCAACGGGATGTTGTTGTTGTATCTGTTGAGAAACAAGGCTCAACTATTTGAAAAAAAGAAGAGATGATGAATAAAATGAAGAGGGAAATGCGCATTTGGGCTCACTTTAATGGTCATGTCTTGATCAGCGCAGGAATTAATAGCAGTGTCCAATAATTCAGAATTCTGTATTGCCTATAGAATTAAAGTCATTGAAAAGCATCGAAATTGAACACACAAGTGCATGGGATATAATGATCGTATTGCTAATAACAACTAATGATGTTAGAATTCCAAAACTCTACCTTTGCTTTTGCTGAACTGCTGCCATGAATGATCAGTATGGTAAATGTCATATAATATGTCACCACAATCATCATTGTAAATAAAACGTCACCGGAACTTTCATTGTATTTAAAAAAATATGGATAAATGGTATTGAGTGCTATAACACAATAAGCAAATGTGAATCCAATATAAAACATGATCTGAAACGAAACGACTTTCACTTATAAATTATATTTTAATAAAACAAATTGTACGCATAGCGACCTGAATTGCAAAACAATGATTGATGTTTTCCATAATTCCCGTCAATGCGCTGTGTTGTGTGCCCACAAAATTGATGAAATCAATGATTTCGCTCTTATTACGGCTGACTGACCCCATTGATATTTTATTTCCCAAGATGTGCTTCCTACTTGGAGACAACAAGTTCAATGATTCTACTATACCAAACAAGTAACCCGATTTTAAATTAATACAAACCTTATCAGAGTATTTAGCGAAACATCGAAGCGATCACGAAGTTGTAAAACGACAATAACGTACGCTGTACAACGTAGGATTTCACACGAGTTTGACAATGGTAATATAACAAAAAAGCGGATCATTTCAATCGGTGGTAATTGTGTGCGATTCACTTCGTAGCAAAAAAATTCACAAATTGGCATCAACACGCCAAAAGCAATGCCCATAAAACACCACATTAAAATCGGTCGACGCTTTTTGCCGTAGTCCAAATGAACGCCATACGTTGCCATCTGTGTTTTATTATCAAATTTGAACTAACTCAATGCATTTGTGACACTACAGTTACCTTTTTATCGATGCTGATGATTTTTTTCACAATTTCAATCCATCGATGTCGATTGTACATATCGATCAAAATGTTAATTGGTATTAAAATTAACTCAAGCGTTATGGTTACGTTATAACTGAAATAGGAAATATTTGGCATTTTTCTGAAGCTCGGGAACATTTTCTCAATGTAGAAAATCGTCACCAATAAATATACAGAAATTGATAGGGCAAACCAAATTGAATCAAAGATTTTAACTCGAGCACACTGAACTTCACCATTTTGAATCACCACAGAAAATGGATATACACCATATGAACGAGAAATAATGTAAATCGGTCGCAAAATGTCGATGAAGTTACTTTTTGGTGCAGGAACACTCATATTGATATTGACAGAGTGCCCGATTTGAATTACTCGTTTGGTTTTTCGATTCGGATTGAACATTTTTGATTGGAAATGGAATCGGATTGGCGTCAAGAATGATTCAAATTCAAATAAACAATATAAGCTACGACGATGGACTTAAAAACATTTCATTATTGTGATTTCATTTCAATTAGACTGATTAAATTGAACAATTAATTCACATTTATTTCACCCATAAACTGTAGAAAATATTACAATCAACTCTTAATATCTATTTCATTCTCTTAAAATGTGATATGCATTTTTGAAATTGCGTGATACAAAAACTTTACAATCTATTTTAAATTCAATGCAGATAGACTATATTTTTTGGAGAAGTGTGACAGGAAAATTCAAGATTTGGGAAAAATGGCTTTTTATGTTTTCGGATAAATACTAAGCCTATAGGTGCGAAGAGGGGTTTTGTGTGTCTTAACCACCTAAGTCAAACAAGCGCCCTCAAGCAAATTATACATTTTCGAGGCTTTCTCTCATCTGAACTTTTCAAATTTTTTGATTTGCTAGCGTTTTTACGGGAAAGTGATGACCTTTTTTGCTTTTTACCTTTTTCGGTACTTTGAGATGAAAATTCTTTTGATTTGCTAAGGTTTTTAGTGATCAACCCATCTCCCTCCTTAATAAGGAGTCCTTATGATACATACACGTCCTGCAACAGAAGTCTTCGCACCTATGAACTAAAAACCAGCTTTTACCCCGTAACTACTTTGCGACCGAAACTAGTATGCGAGTTCAAATTTCTACAGGGGGTAATTTTCAAAGCTCCATCTTAACTACTAGAACTACTATTTGTTAATAACTAGTGTAAATTTCTGAACCAAAAAAACCTCAGAGGTAAAAACTAAAATATACTGGGATAAAAGTGAACAAGAACAACATTCCCTCATGTCAGGTTATCAAACTGGATCAATATGGTCACATAGATGGTGATACTGCTAATCATCTATTAATGAGACGAATGAAATTAAATCATGCACAATAATTGATTGAAAACAAATGATCGGCTGAGAATAAAAGTGACTTTAAGTTTTGTTAAACCGTCTCCATCTTATGTAAATCCTATACAAATTATGCTAGGGGGTAGACACGTGGAAGCAAAACTCACAGAAATCACAGAAATCACAAAAATCATTAAAATCATTAAAATCACAGAAATCGCAGAATTCAATTTTTGTGATTTCTTTGATTTCTGTCAAATGTTGTGTATATTGTACCTCACACACACTATGTGTACGACTTCTACTATAGGCGCACACTACCACAGTGAAATTAGCTTTGTATATAAGTGTATTTTATGTCCAATATTGAGGTTTGGAATCCAGAAATCACCGAAATCGCAAGAATTAAAGATTTCATAGAAATCAAATAATTCACACTGGATTCATAGGTGTCTGCCCCTAGAAATTATGAGACACTTTTAAGATTTTTTCTGCTTAAAGTCTCTTTTATTACCAGCCGTACAAATATACATTGTACAACAAAGTCCAATCAAAATTAAATAGTCCGCAAGTTGCAACGGGATGTCTTTGTTGTATTTGTTGAGAAACAAGACCCAACTATTTGGAGCAAAAATGAAAGAATTGAATGAAAATCAATTTAAAAAAAATTATGAACGACTGTAGGTAGTGTAAAAATCTCACCAAAAGGGCCACTTCACGGTCGCTACAACAATTGATTGTATCTATCATTAATTTAGAAATGTTTTTTCCCTAAAAAGTCATAAAATGAACGCAATAGCTGAGCAATTCGATAATACACAGACTGGTTTCAATTCCAGAAACATACCTTTGCTTTTATGGAACTACCGCCGTAAATTACGAGTATGGTGTATGTCATATAAAATGTCGATACAATTGCCATACTACGTAAATTTTCTTTGAATATTCCATCTTCTTTTAGAAAATATCGATACATTGATAGAAATGTTATAATCCAATGTACAAATGTGAATCCGACACATAACATGATCTGCAAAAAAATAGCTAATAAGTTAAGTATTTCTAAACAAAATTGTGCATTGCAACCTGAATCGCAAAACAACGATTCAGCTTAACCATAATTCCTGTTAATGCATTGTGCTGTGTGCCAATAAATTTGATAAAATCAATGATTTCGCGCTTATGATTGAATGACGCCGTTGCATTTCGCGGCAGGTGCTTCCTATTTGGAGAGAACACGTTTAATAAAAGAATCTTCATCAAACGAATAGTTCAAACCTTATCAAGGTGTTTAATAGATCGTGAAGCGATGTGAAGCGATCGCGAAGTAGAAAAATGAGTATGATATACGTTAGACTACGTATAAATTGAAACGAACATACAAACGTATATACACCAAAAAATTTGAACATTTCAGACACTGAAAAATGCTTCCGATTTCTTTCGTAAAAGAAAAATAAAGTGATTGGCATTATCAAGCCACAAGCCATACTAAGCAAATACCAAATCAAAATCTGTCGACGTTTTTTCCCGTAGTCACAATGAATGCCATATGTTGCAATCTGAGTTTTATGAAAAAGATTCAATTGAAATTAAACATCATCATTCCTCAATTTGTGGGGCAAGTACCTTCTTATCAAAACTGACGAATCCTTTCCCGATGTCAATCAATTGATGACGGTTGAACATATCGAAGATAATCGATATTGGTATTGAAATTATCTGTAATGTTACATCACTTTTAAAACAAAACTGAAAAGCACTGTGTACATTTCGAAAATACGAGGATGTTTTGTTAACGTAGACAAAAGCTACAATGGAATGCACGCAGATTGAAATAGCAAACCAAATCAAATCAAAGATTTTAACTCGAGCACACTGAACTTCAACATTTTTGTCGACAGTAATAGAGAAGGGCAAAAGGCCATATATACGCAAAATGAAATAGATTGGTTTCAAACTGGCGATGAAATTCATTTTAGGCGATGAAACATTTTCATTCGGATTGATATTGATGGAGTGTACGATAGGAATTACTCTGTTGGTTTTTCGATTTGGGTTGGACATTTTTGAAATGAAATGGAATCGGTTTGGTGACGAGAATGATTCAAATTGTACTAATCAATGTAATCGATGGCAATGGGTTTAAAAACATTTCATTATTGTCTTTTATCACATTTCGCTGTTCATTTTCAATTAGACTAATTAAATTTTGCTCTTTTTCTCAAAAACGAAAAATTTGTATGGGAGGTACCCCTAATTTTGATTGAAATTTCTTCAAACTTTCAGAATGTCAATTTTTTGTATAAAAAATAGTCTGTGTAAAGTTTCACGTCATTAAGGTTGCATAAAAGCATGGCTCTCATACAAAAAATTCAATTTTTCGCGATTTTTTCAAAGAAACTCTGTTAAAACTTGATTGTATCTCAAAATTAATGTCGGATTCGGGTTTCTCGTGCCAAAAAAAACCCCAATACACATTTCAAACTTGAATTTACGTCTCTGGGGAAAGATTTATCAAGTTAACAAATTTTCGCATACCATACACCTTATGGGTACACCATCATGGTGTCACCAAGGATCAGTGATGTGTAAAGATACTATCTAAAGTTTAGATAATTATCTGTTATAACAGATAAGATATTTTAAAAGTTTTAAAATTCTATCTAGATAAGATAAAATATCTCGTTATCTTTATCTTATCTTGCAGTATCTTCTTGTTTTTTCATACAAAAATAGCAAAAATTGCGTTTAGATAAGATAAGATATTTTGGTAAAGTATCTGGAAAAAGTCAGATAATTTTCAAAAGTATCTTAAAAACCTCAGATAAAGTATCTTTGCCCATCACTGCCAAGGATACACCGATGCACGAATATCGCTGAAAAACAGTACCAGCCTATTCCTCGCAACCCCCAATCACCTGTAAAATCAGATTTGGATTTGATTTTCTCTAAGAAGAGTTATCGTGCTAACAAATTACCTTTTGATTTTTTGCGTACACCATACAGGGTACAGTGTACCACATCCCCACTTTAACATGGCCAAATAACCGTTGCTCTGTGATTTTCTATACCCAAAACGTATAGAAAAACGATTTTTAGCGATTTCAAAATTTCGGGGTGATTGCAATACTTTACTGCACACAGTGTGAAAAGTAAAACAATGTCTTACATCCTATTTCTTATATCTTTTACTGTAAATTTGAATTCACGAGGAAACTGAATCTGACATAAGTTTTGCGATACAAATAATTTTCATCGAAAACAGCTGATTTTTGAGGGGCGTTAATTTTTCGACCGATTCCAATACTTTACCCTACAAAATCAGCGTGTGCGGAAAAGTAAAATAAATTCTTGCAACATGCAAACGAGCTGGTACTGCCTTGTGACACGAACATAACTTTATGGCATAATAACTGATTCGTAACGGAAAATTTCTGCAGGTAATAAGCGAAATAATTGCTTTTCATGCTGTTATTTTCCAAGCGTAATGCGCATTGCGCATATTTTTTTTTAGTCAAAGTCAGAACATTCCCTATCGCGGACGTATTTTGTTTGAAAAGCAAAGAAAATGGAAAATTCCAGTCAAAATACCACCGTTGCACCGAAAGATGCTGACCAGAAATCAGTTCCATCGTCAAAAATGAGTTTTATCAACAGTTTACGGCCAATTTATTTCTTTTCGCGTGCATTCTCTCTATTGCCATTCTCAATTGTTGTAGACGAAAATGGTGAAGTGAAACGAGCTCGCATTAAATTGTTCGATGTGATATGGTTCATCATTTCAATTTGTGTGCAAATATGGTTTACATTTTGTTTTATTCAAAATATGAAGCTTTTGACTAACTCACATATATCAAGAATTTTGGATATTGGCGATAAACTAAATGTGTGTCTTCAGTTGATCTTGGCACCAATAATGACCATTTTCGATATTTACAACCGACAGAAATTCATTGAGATTGTGCAAAACTTAACCACCTTCGATAAAAAGGTAAGCAGCCTGACTTTAATCAATGGTTTTTATTCACGTTAATTCAATTCTTCTCTTGATCAAAGATCGCAATGTATGGCGTTCGCTTGAACTATGAGAAAAAGCGTCGAAATGTGTTATTTTGGTATTCGTTGGCCTTTGTATTCAGCGTCATTTTACCAATCACGTCATATATCCTTTTCAAATTTCATCACGACACTTTTCAACCACTTGAAGTGATAAGTCACTTTGGTGTCTTTATACTTGTAAATGGCATAAAGGCCATGTTACACACAACATACATTGTGCTTCTTTTTCTCGTGCGTGATCGATTCGATCTTTTAAACTCATTGCTGAGGTTTGTTATGTCAAATTGAAAGGATCCATGAGGAGATTCTAATGATTTATACCTTTATCTAGGAAAAATTTCATGAAAAGTGAACTATCAGTGGTGAAAATCAATCATGACAAGACCAGAGTCATTGATTTCATAAAGTTTATTGGAACACAGCACCGCATTCTAACGGGAACCATGAAAAGGATTAACTATTGCTTCTCAATTCAAGTTTGTATTCGTTGCCATTTATCGTAACCTTTAAAAATGCATGAATTTTATTAATGCATCGAATTCGTTTTAGATTATGCTCTACATTGGATTTACATTCGTTTATTGCGTTCTAACATTTCTTTCGATTTATCGCTATTTGATTAAACACAATGACATATTTGAGGGAATAACATTTTATCACGCTTTCGTGTTGATATTTTATATGGCATTCACCATAATGCTGATTTACAGCGGAAGTCTCATAAAATCTAGGGTACATTTCAATCAATTTTCTTTGTAAAACCGAACTCGATGGCTATTTATATAAAAACGTTCACACTAACTATTTTGCAGGGAAAAAAGACTTCTGACATTTTATACCAAGTTGTCAACTCTTGCTTCGATGCAGACATAGTTTTGGAGGTAAATTTCCCTTCACACTTTATTGCTTACAGTTTATTAAATCCCTTTTTTATGGTGTTTGGTTTGGAATAGCTAATTTGCGTATCGCGACAAATACAAAATCACCATCCGGTGGCTACATGTGGATTGTTCATTTTCGATTGGACTCTTTTATACAACGTTTGTGACTGTTTATTTTTTTTAAAGAAAATTACTTTGCGTATTGAGGACATTTTTGTCTATTTTGTAGATGATTGCTGCCATCACAACCTATTTGACCATATTGATTCAATTTGATAACATGAAATGAAACGTTATGATCGTTAAATAGAGATATTTTCGTTCCTATCATAGCCATGATGTTACAAAATTGACCAATGATGAAGGACGAAGGAGAGAGAATCAATTAAATCATCACTTTTAATCAATAACTTGAGTTGGCACTTGAGTTGAAGTTGTAAAATGTTTTCGTGCACCTTTAATTTGATTGTGCTTGTACAGGGTCTTTTTTAATTTTCATTGCTTTATTGTATACTAAAAGTTTTAGTATAGTTTTTAGTCTAAAACACATTTGGAAAATACGCGGGTAAATAAATGTTTAACATTAGCATGCACAAAAAGTAACAACGCATTATCTGTGACTGGTTGAGAATTAATGTGGAAATTACTTTGAGTCAAAAACTGATCGTTTTCACTTCCAACGCTTGTTGGATTTCCGTAGAAACCCTTAGCAAATCGAAATAAATTTCC